TGGATGGATTACTGTAGTTGTTGGCAGCGAAGAAAGGAAAACTCTTCTAAATGATTTTACAATTTGTAGTGGAGATTGACTGCGAATGGATAGACATTACAACAACCATCTATTTTTTATCACTACAGTCCACTGGAAACTTACCGAACACCATCAAATGTATTATGAAGAGCAGATTCGACGGGAATTATGTTCGCTTCTTCAGAATCGCCGCCAAGATCTGTGAACACGAATACATTTCTGAAAGCAAACAATTCACGTGATTCTCAGTGAATAGAATAGGTCGTTCCAAAACCCACTCACCGCCCCACTCCACTCTGTTCTCGAACGAACACACTTGATGATGGGGACGCTACCCTTTGATGGAATCTGATAACTTAAATGCATCCGGTTAAACCTGACCTTATATGCTCTCAAATCTCGAGTTGGATTTTTTGGAACTCAAAATCCTCACTTCTGCTGCTGTAATAAGGAAGCAAACCACCATTGTTATCGGCCACAATCTTGAGCTCAGTCATCCTGGAGAAAATAGTTACTCGGGAAAAATTTATCTGGTTTGAATCTAAGGGATTTGGTAGGCGAAAGTAAGGCACTGAGAAATTGCGCCACACCTACACAAGTAAGGTACTACACCTTGAATGAATTCCAAGCATAGATAGTACTGCCCGACTTTCACTTCTACTCCTAGGTATCTGTCAGTTCAATAGGCAAGCCCCGGTATAAGACCACTGAAAGAAATCCCTCCGGTAGGCATACTAGAACTATTTGCAAAGGTCGTCTGTGCGCCGTTGACGCAGCTCGAACGAGCACGTTAGGGGCGTTAGGGACTTATCAACGTTCCTATATAACGCTCTTGGTCGGCAATTGTCTGTAGGTGGCCACAACAGTCGCTTATGTGGCCCTCTTCTACGGCGTGCTCTCTCGAGTTTTCTGTCTTCTCTGTTAGCTACGATTCTCGGCATACCCGTCCTCACAGAAGGTCAAGTCCATAAATTTTAGCTGGGTGATGGTTTCTTTTGCTTTTTTTCACTTTAACCTGCCGCTCTTCATTACCAAGCGCGCTCAAGCACCGGGTTTATTCCGCGGCTTGCCTTCCAGCACTTTTGTGAAAGAATATGAGCAATCACACTTTTGCCGGTTGACCAAACGCATGTTATGTAATATGTAATCTAATTATGCATTCATTTCCCACTGCGATGCTTGACGGAAATCGAGTACGCAGCTTAACCCAAAAATGGTTCGACCAAGGCGAGTCTTTCTGACTGCCTGCTTTTTGCAAGATTCTATTTTCGTTGACAAGATCGATTCCAATATTGAGTGCTTCCAGCGACGAATGGATGTAGGTCAGGAAATGTGAATGGCACCGCTAAAATTAGTGCCATGTGTATCTTCGAGCTATACTACTGCGTACGCTTTGGTACGCCCCTTGGCACGGCGTCTGCGACCGCGTTACCATAGTTTGCGATATTGCTATCGCAGCGCGGCCGCTGTCATCATGTCCTGACCCACACCCACAATATTTTATTACCAGGTTGGTCCCCCGCCAACCGCCGGGACCTTCTTTCACAGCGTACGCTTTACGGCCTAAAATCACCTTACGAAAGCTAATTGCATCCTAGGCCTGTTGGGGGTGGTTTTCCGCCTACCCTCCTCAAACACTTCACCCCCTCTCCTCTCCCTCCACTCCCCTCCAGCTGCCACTGCAGCACCATGTGGAATGAACGGAAGTGTGCTCAGTAGGTGTTTATATAGCCGTTGGAGTGTTATCACAACATCCATTGCAAAACATTGATATCTCAAATCCTGTAGCTACCCGATTTGTTAGCGGTTGTTTATTCCATTAGCTTCCTTATCACTCACTTCATTTTGCGGACGGACAGACATACATACAGACACACCACGTTAGCGGTTTATAAAATCGAATGATATATATTTTTTAATAGAGTAAAAACGTACACAAGATTCCTGCGGTCGTAGCCGTAAAGCATTATGCGATACTTCGAACTGATAGCACTAGTGAACCAAATCCCTGGAAATTTACAAATTGCATTTGATGCCTTTAGCCAATGCAACACTTCCCTGGCACACAAATTCAAGTAGAAACGTCACAGGAATAAAATCATGTGAAGTATGAAAGTATAAAGTATGAAAGCAAGGATAAAAGCTAACCTTTGGGGAACTCATCAGTGAAGAACTGCTCGTGGCGTATGGTTGCATTAAACCTCCACCACTTTGCCTCATCAGCATTAATGATGTTCTTGTAGGTGATGGAGCTGGAAATTACCAGTAAGAGCAATAAGAAAACCAGTTGGATTCGACCCGTGCCTTCAATCCCCTTCAGAACAAAAAAACTTTTGAACTACTCATTCGGGTCTTGAGCACGTCGTCTCCATTGTTGGCCGAGCATTTTCACCATCGGATCGGCCCACCTCATTTTAGGCCTTCCCGGCGATCGCTTGTGATCCAACGGGATCCAATTCATAAGCCGGGAAGTCCATCTGTTGTCTTTCAAGACGTGCCACATGACCGGCCCAATCTCGTTTACGATTATACATTTCCTGGACAACATCAACAAGGCCACTTCGTTCTTCGCAACTCTGTGTTTGTGATATGTTCACGAAGTGACACTTTGCAAATTCTGCGTTCCATTGACCTCTGCATCACAGCAAATTTCTCTTCGTCTGCTTTAGTGGGCGACCAGCATTCCGCGCCGTACAGCAGCGCAGGTATCACCGTTGAGTGAAACAAAGACGCCTTCAGTTTCATCGGGAGGTTATCGTCTAGCAATACGTTGAGATTTTGTTGAAAGACCAAGCTGCTTTCTTCGTCTGCTGTACTCTCCGTTAACGCCTTCAATGAAGCTGAGCTGGTGTCCAAGGTACTTATAGCTTTTCACTTCTTCCATCGTTTCTCCATTTACGTTGATTGTTGCTGTAGGACAGAACTGATTGTGCATCCACTTGGTTTTTGATGAATTCATTTCGAGTCCAATTTCAGTGGATTTCTTCTATGCTGCACAAGTTTCTGTTGGAGCTCAATAGCAATTACGCAATCGTCGGCAAAAAGCAGATAAGTCAGCCGTTCTTCCATCGATCTCCATACTACCTGTCCAATCGAAATCACTGAGCAGGGCTTTCCACGTGCAAGTGATCGAGTGTGGAGTATCCGCTTCTATATCCGCTTCTAAACCGGCTTGCTCTCGGCTCATGACCATATCCACGTCTCTAACGATGCGATTTAGGATTATTCTTGTAAAGATTTTATAGATTTGAGACAATAAGGTGATGGGCCTCCAATTATTCAAGCTTTCAGGAGAAGTATCGTCCTTGATGTCTTCCACGCTCCAGGAACCCTTTTCCATTGCAGTATCTGCTGAAACGCTTCTGCCAGCGCTTTAAATAGATGTAGTCCGCCTGCTTTTAGGTGTTCGGGACGAATGTTGTCGCAGCCAGGGCTTTTCCCAGCCTTTATTTGTTTCACTGCATTCTCCACTTCTTCCCACATTACTTCTGGGATCGGTTCTTCTGCAACACTTCGATATGGTTCTGCAACAACCACCTTTGAGGAGTACAAATCGTTGTAGAACTTCGTACATACATATCTCGTTCATCCGTCAACGGTTAGTTGTCCTGACACCTGCGTTGTCCTTGAGAGCAGAGGGTGGTATATGCTGCCTGAGTCGAATGTCCCTTTCTACAGCTTTCAGGCTTGCCCTTCTTTCAGCTGCTTCACGAAGTCTATAGCCTTCATAGTCGCATTTGATTTTTTCCCTTATCGCTTCACAGAGTGTCCGGTATTCCTCATTTTGCACTCGTCCTTCAGCCTTCATGCGTGCTCTCATTTCTTCATCATCTGCAGTGCTTCTGTCGATATACGTCGTCGCCTTGCGGGCTCTATTGCTATGCTCGATGCTTTCACGGCCTGAGTTATTTTTCCCACTAGATCTTCATAGTCGGCATCGATACTGCTTCCCATATTCATGTGTAGATCTGACGACTCTATCATCGCAGCATACATATCGGCATTGAAAGTTTGTCGTACGAGTGTTTTTTGCGAATGCAGAACTCGACGTTCTTTCTTGGCATCGAAGAGGATCACCGAACGCAAAAGCCGATGATCGGAGCCAGTCGTTATCACATTTTCCCCTATAACAGAGACATCAGCAAACAATCTTGGCGTATCGGTCAGCACATAATCAATCTGCCTCAGACACTTCATGTCTGGGCTCCTCCATGTCCATAGAAAACATCAATATTTCGAAATTCCCCTTGCGAGGTCGGCCGTGGTTTGACAGAGAGACTTAGCGCTGCGAGGAGAGGGAGAACGCGAGAGAGCACGTCGTACGCGAGAGGGCGCAGCGCCATATGCCGCGATTGATAAGAATGGCAGCACAGCAGCACATAAGGCAAGGATAGCGCCGTTGCCTCGCATTTTTAAGTTGCAACAGTTGCGCCCTTGCGCTTGTGGATCCCTCCTTCTCACTCTTGGAAGGGTCAGCTCTTGGCACTGATCTGACCCACTTCTTTAGGCATCCAGACTATAAGGCTTAGTTCAGCTTATGTGACTGTCATTACGCTTTCAATAATTTTTCGGTTGAGGATGTGTGAGATGAGATTTAGTCAGTTTTCAGATTCCTACACCAATCCGCTCCATAATTGAGATAGCAGGATCTACAAGTACAGTAGCCGTGGCGCTATGGCGATTTAAAAATACGCGGCTGGGCACTGAGGGGTCCTAAAGTGTAATTCGGTCACATTCCTACTCGTTCCGAGCCCACGCGATGTCTGCGCCCTCTCTTATGACGTACTCTCGCGTATTCCTTCTCTTTTCCGGGTCTTGACTCTATGTCGTACCACGGTCGACCTCCCAAGAAAAGCAGGTCTCACATATCAGTGTTTGATAGTTCCTTTTGCCTCTTCCCCTACTGACGGTCCTCTTCACAACTATTGCTCTGTTTAACCCTTTGGCGACAATGGCACCCACCGGTGGGTGCCACTATGACCGTCGCGTGGGACAATGGCACCCAATGGTGGGTGCCACCCTAAAATTTTCTTCTTTACCCATTTAAAACATTTTCAACATATCAGTAATTATAAGCAAGCTCCGTTACGCCTATGTTTAGCATATTTTGCAGAAATGTTTGTTACTAGCTAATTTATATGAAATTTTAGGATATGGCACTTCGCTCGGCGATGTATTAACTAGTGTTTTACATTATTAAGCTTAAGGTGAATTACAGATCAGGACCTCTACGTCTTTTCACAGTCTTAAGACACAAGGAGGAGTTTGAACTATATCAAAAATTCTACTGTACATTTGAACTTCTAGAGTTTTCAAACACCATCCCTTTGAAATCCGAGATTTCTTTCCAAACTTCCACTTCTAATTCCAACAATACATGATCATAAAGCTTAAGACTGCAGTCATATTTTGTATATTGCCAAAGTCAAATTTTGCCACCTTTGCGCGAGAGTTGGGCGCGCCAAAAAGAGGCGTGGTCCCACGAGCACGCTACGTGCAAATCCGCATTGTCGTCAAAGGGTTAATACCGCACCAAGATCGCGACCCGTGCTTCTGAGGAACGAATTATACATCGATTAACATGCGTAAGGCCGATGTTACACTCTGCGAATTGAGCGATTGACTACTAGCGAATCGCTAGAAGCGCATTGCTCGATTCGCAAAATCTGACATGGGCCTAAGACTGATAACTACCTTGAGCGCGTAACTTCTAGTGAAATTTTCACTCAGATTAAACCTCCCAGATCTTGTGAAATTTCCATACTTGATTAGACTCTGTATCATCATACGTCGTCCAACGCGTTTCAATCCGATAAACAACAGTTCCTGTGTGTTTTCCTGAACAAAATACTGCGCTTTCTATTTGTGGCCATATCCTTCATGAAACCATAAAAAAGAGAATATACAAAACTTTCATCTTGAAGGCAACCTTCAAGATTTCTGAACGAAATGAGGCTCTTGCGTGAGAACTATGGAGTGGAACGTAAGCGCGGAGCATGTACCCACCTGGCGCCACGACTTGACAAGGCTGAGACGCTAATAAGCAAAGGTTCATCATGCTTCGCCCACCACAACACTGCTCCAGTAACTAGACTCCGGAGGCAATGTTTGCTCCGAATGGCATACCTTACCAGAACTTGATTCCTCGCCTGGTAAGCAGCGTGGCTCCCAACTAAACCCTTACCGTTCTTCCGGGCACTCTATATTCTGAATAAATACAGAAATGACGAACTGTTCTAGTTATGAAAGGCATATAGCTTTCGCACAGTGTAGCGTCATTCCTTTCAAGCAGTTCATAAGCCGTTCCATTTTGTGGAGTGTTCATGATGTTATTCAATGTAGTATAGTAAACGAAGCAGTCTGGAGTGATCCCAATAACTGAAAAGCTGTTTTCTTATCAACTTCGTATAATAATGCCAAGAAGTGCGGCAATGATCAAAAACTCTGCATAGCCATGCACTCGACTCCCACTCGGATTACGGTATAAGAGTTATCAGTTAATTTATACATATACCTACGGAGGAACAAACGGATGACAGATTTCATCCATCTAGGCAAGATTGTTCATCTCGTTCGATCAAATAGCGATCGAAGTCTTGGAAAGCTTAGAAGGGAAATGAGCAGAGATTTAACACGTTGACGACAGCGTGACGCGCTAACGCGTCTCATCCTAGTCATCTCTTTTTCTACGCTTGCACAGTTTCTTCCTAAGTTCCTTGTACTCATTTCATAAATCGTACACCAACATAACTATAAACGCTGTGGTCGAAATGGTTAGGTATGCTCTAGTTCCTGAACCATACGTAATTCTGAGTTATCTACAAGCTTAGATTTTTACTCTCGAGTAAGCAAGCGAATATAGTAGAGCGGAACTATAAAAATAAAGGTTTACAAGATACAGATAATTTTACTACGGATTACGAGATTTGTGTTTCGTGTCAAAACATTCAATACAAAGGGATTCTTACATCTACTGCGATGCGTGCCGTTTCTTTCTTTCGGTAGCAGGGAGCCCGTGTTCTTCAAAAATGTTGCGCAAAATATACGACACCTTCTTTGCTAATATCTCAAACCTTCAGGAACTTCCTCCAGTTTATGTCGCCTCAAATTGGACCAGAGAGTTGAAATGTTGTCACGCTCAACCTCAGCAATGATTCGATCACCGCATATTTGGATCATCCAGCTGAAGATTCTCGATCGATCCTTGTATAACTTCGCATTCTGTACACGTATTTACTTTGTATTCTGTATAATGTCATCTGATTTCTCCTCCCAGCTCCCCTTGTACTACATTTTGTTTCGTTGCACTCGAGTTGAGTTTCAAAAACGCAGGGGACAACGGGACGCGCCTGCGCGTCACAGAAAACATGACAGCCAAATAGCTGATTTCCCTCGAGGTGAAAAAAGCCAAAACGTGCGCCGTCGTCAACGTGTTATTTACGAGGCTCTGCCTGTAGTGACAGCACCATCCGTGACTATGTAACCCACTCTTGAACGACTCTTCTGTCGCTCCAGGGGTCAGTTAACCTAGCATCAATCCTGTCTGGGGGTGTAAGACACCGAGTTCTAAATATAGCAATTGGTCCCCGTCATGCAATGGAAGAATGAACTGCGAATTTGGAAGCTTAACTAATTCTGAAAGAAAGTCGAGCGTTTGACAAGCTTCTAAAAAAGAGTCTGATCAAGCTAACACTCAATTAAATGCTGGCAAAAATTCTAGGAAAAGAGCACTGCTATGCGAGTAATTCACCCTGAAATTTCTCCATGTACTTCCCTTGGTCTTCTTTAGAGGACAGCCCACTCTCCTCTGACATTTTGACCATGTCTTCGAAACAACTCTGAACCCTGCTAATTTTTATGTACTATTGACACAAGGTCACATGACATGATTTTTAAAACCATGAAAAAGGAAGTTTTAATGAGGTACTTCTGGAATTTCATCTGATCTGGCTGATCTTATTTGAGAATATCGAAAATTATCTGCCGTGCTTTGCGAGAGCTAGATCAGAAACGAAACGTATGCCAAAGTTCACCGCTCGTCTGGCCGAGCCATAGGTGAGTAGGGAGGAGAGGGGGAGGGGCTATTTCTGGTCTTTGTTCAATGCAATTGTTGTGAAGGGGTCGTACTCGAAATCTTCGGAGGGTCTCGCAGTGGTGAAAGTCGAGGGATCGGATAAGGAGCGAAAAGAAGTGATCATTGATGGATTTTTTTTTCTGATAGTTTTGGCGAAAAAAAAAGCAAGAAATGGGCAAAATCAGAGTATTTGTTTTCATTCGCGTCCTCCCCCTTCCTTCCGCTCCACGGTAGGTTGGAGAAAATTCCGAGGCAAAGTAGGACGTGTGCAAAAAGTGCAGCTATGGTGCTTGGTGGAAAGGGTTATCGTATGGAGTACACCTCCATCGCTGGTGGAGGAGGGGGAGGGGGTCGTTGAAAGATGTAAAAATTAGAATCATCACATCCACCGCGACTCTGGTCAGGAGGCTCATCACACGGCTGTGGATGGTACTGTATCAGTGAAAACTCGCATCAGTCTGCGTTTGAGTGTTGATTGAGAGTATGGAAGCAGTGCGAAAAATGCTCTCAAACAATCTTTTCCCTTCACCGCTCTTTAATTTTCTTTGGTAGAGTCATATGGAATGGTCCGTGTATGTGGAGGGGTGGGGGACTGCTGAAAAGCGGAGCAGAAGAAAACTTACCAAGTAAATATCGATTTTTTTGAATCCACAAACTAAAAAAATGAGTTTGCGTCTCTGCGAATTTGGCACGCGATAGATGTTGGAACGGACCCCCCCCCCCCCCGACAAGCATTTGATTGAACTTTGTCGTCAGATATTTAGTGGTTCACTAATATGATACACGCGTATTGCAGCGTAATCAGACAAGGACAGCCGAAACAATCAACAATTTGAAGAACTTACAAATGTCTTGTTGCCCTCGTTTCCGTGAACTGTAAGTGCAGCCTGAATGAATGGGTGGTAATCATGTCCGCATTTTACGCCTTCGCGGACGGGCCGCGACGCCGTGGATTTTTCGATAGGCGCGATTTTGCGGTAAGTGGTTATTTCTGGTGCATACCGAGCATACATTTCACAGAGACGTATTCGATCGCACGATCAACTGTTCCACTGACCAATTCCAACAACCATCTCTCCTCCACACCTTGAGGGTGTCGGTCTTACCACATCACCCTGCGTGCGTTCGATCACCTATAAAAACGACCACCTCGCCGCCTGTCAACTCACTACCCATCGCTTTCTCTATACCATTCGATCTCTGAGATCGACACACCACTCGCCCAATTTTTCCTCTATAGTGGCCGGAAGGAGCGGCTGGAGGTCGGTGGTGGAGCCTAGAGTGGGGAGGGGTGGCAACAAACATGTTAAAGGCTGGGGTCAGGATCGAATGTGTGTGTGTGTGTGTGTGTGTGTGTAATCTTGTTCGAAAACTGGGCAAAAATCGCACTGGGAATAAATGACGTTCCTATTAGGTTGTCCCATAATTAGTGAATCACTTTACATTTATTGTTATAAAAAATCCAAGAAAAATGGTAAAGGCGTGAAACATGTTTTGCGAAGTAGCACCCACATTATCCTACCTGAGCAATTAGTCAGCCCATTTACATGCTGCCTTACGTGGCTATTACATCAATTTTTCTGGAACCTATTTTTGAGCTTCCTTCTTCATCACTTCTGATTAGGATCTTTCAAACGCCAAACAACATAGTGGATCAACCAGCAGATAGGCGAGGGCACGCTCCTCAATCCACGGTCACTTGGTTCACTCTATTCCGAGGTTGGCTTTTTTTTGAAGATGACCCACACTCCAACTACCCCTCGACTGGCAATCTCACTGCCCTACCCAGCGCCACTGAGAATGAAACTGGACAAGCTAGTATCGAAAAAGGATAAAGCATTTGCCGTTGATCAATCCCTTTTTGGGATGCGGCACGCATTCTACTTCCATTTGTACATTCGTAGTGGCGTTTGAATGCGATGTGGCCTATACAATGACTTGCGGGGGCCAGCCGATGTACAAGTCAGTGTTTTTATCCTCCCAGACAAGTCTGGTACCAATTAACCGACCCCGGAGGGATGGAAGGCTTGGTTGGCCCGGGCGACTCACGACCCAGGATTTGATCCCCGGACCGCTCGCGTGGTAAGCGCGCCACTTGCCACTACACCACTTCCCCTACTTCGGCCTGCCCTGTTCCTTCATATCTTGGTGGGGATTTCTTTTTTAATGTAAAGTGGTCATCCTCGTAGACTAGGCATCTTATCGCGCAGCTTAGAATTCATCCTAATCAATAAAGGAAATGAAAACGAAACAGCCGGAATACAGCAGTAAAAAAGCTCGAAAGACCAAACTATCGCTTGAAAAAGGGAATTCATAGAAAAGAATTCAATTCAAAAACTACTATGGGTTAGCCGTAAACCAGAAAAGCCAAGCTAAAAAAAACGTGACAAGACTTCCCAACAACCTAACAGCGGAATGCTCAGAAGAGGTTGCGCCTAACTAAGGAGTGTTGAATGATTTTTTAGGAGGATATACAGTAAGATCTAATAGGCGGTCCGGCTAATCACCGTCTGGACCTCCAATTTTGCAGGCCTGCATTCCAACCAGTTTAACACGTTTCCAAAGATTGTGTAAGTCAAATGTATCATTTTGAAGATGACAAATCTCCTTCGAATAAACAACGGGTTGATAAGAAAACCAGGATTCTAGCAGGAAATTGTCCATTTAAGAATTTTTTCGTGGGACAACCTAGTGTAGACGTTTGGACTCACCAATGCAATGAGCACCTCTCTGTAGACCATCCCTCGAAAATTCCCGTCAAGAAAATGAGTCTGAACCCCACCAGTAACCAAACATGATAGTCATGCAGTAAAATGTGAAGCGGAGGGTTAATAATCGCGCATCGCACTTGCACAGCTTCACTTTT